GAAAATTAGCAACTAGTATAGCTTCATGTTGGCCTTCCTAGGAGGCTCAGTGTTAAAGAATCTGCTTGCAATGCAGGAGACGCAGGTTCCATCCCTGAGTCGGGAAGATCCCCTGGAGAAGGAAATGGCAACCTGGCTCCAATATTCTTGCCTGGGAAATCCCATGGATAGAGGAACCTGGTGGGCTACATTTCCACAAGATCGCAAAGAGTGGCACACGACTTAGCAACTGGGCACACTCACATGTAGCTTCATGTATGACCTGCAGTTGTGCTGGTAACACATGTAAATCCAGACATTAGTTTCAATTTGCATGACGCTTATAAATGATGTAATTTCTCAATATGAGCATGATCTTTCAAGGTCAGTGTCAAAGTGGATACATTTGACAAGGTGTATTTTGTCACTGCAAATGAATATGAATATGAAAACAAAGTGAATAAGCATTAATATAAATGGAACAAATAACTGTACAGATACTGATGTTAGCTAGCCTAATTGATTCAGCCATCTCTATACACTCTTGAACTCAACAGACCTGAATCTGAGCAAACTCCAGGAGGCAGCAGAGGACAGAGGCGCTGGGCGTGCTGCAGTTCACGGAGTCGCAGAGCTGGACAGGACTTAATGACTGAACTACACAACAACAACAAATGCTCCTGAGGTCCCATTAGAGCAGGAAACATTTTTCATTCTTAAACCTTAGAACTTCATCATGTTCTGGAAAATTTGAGGGCTGCCATGTGAAAGGTTTGATGTGCACCCTGAAATCAAGTATGCACAATGGGTCTTTGAAAACAGATGAGGTTCCTCTGACTCTGAACCTGAGAATGTGGGGGTGGGGCGGAGCTGAAAATTGTCAACACCTGGGAGGTTGTCAAATGAAAAAGGAAGTGAGTCAGACCACTGGGTCACTGCTTAAGTAAATGTTAGTCCAAAACCTACAATCTGAGCCTGTGATTGAATACAGGCTTCTAGAGAGTAAGCTGTATTTTCTCACCAGAGCAGAGATACAATATCAGAACTTGGCACCAAATAAATTACATATTTTACCAATAATGTTCTAAGAACAAAGGAATATGCAAAAAAGATTAATAATAAATAAAAACACTAAACATGTCTCCAAGTCATGATGTGATGGCTGATTCTATGCGTTAACTTGGCTACACTCTAGCACCAAGTGCTTGGTCAAACATCAGTCTAGATGTTGGGTGAAGGTATTTTCTAGTTGCAATTAACATTTAAATCAGTAAACTTGAGAAAGTAGATTAACCTCTATAAAACAAGTGGATCTTATTCACTTAGTTGAAGGTCTCAGAAAAAAGATCGATGACCGCTGACAAAGGAGAATTTCTGTTTAGATTGCCTTTGGACTTGGAGGGCAGCATCATCTTATCCCTAGACCCCTTACAGATTTCAAGACTGGCCAGCTTCCACAATTGTGTGAACCAATTCCTTCCAATAAATCCTTCCATTTGTCTCTATATTTATTTATCACCTATCATTTATTATATGATCACATATAGGATAATATATACAGTATAATTATAATAACTATAAAATACAACAGCATAATAATCATATAACATATGATTCCATAATAATATAATTAAACATATATTATATATGTGTGATGGGCTTCCCTAGTGGTTCAGACAGTAATCTGAGCAATGCGGAATCTGCCTGCAATGCAAGAGACCCAATCTCAATCCTTGAATCAGGAAGATCCTCTGGAGAAGGGAATAGCTACCCACTCTAGTATGCTTGACTGGAGAATCCCATGGACAGAGGAACCTGGTGGTTTACAGTCCATGGGGTCACAAAGAATCAGACACGACTGATGCAAGCATGCACAGCAACAGTTTAGATGTTCAACTGAGTGATAGTCACTCAGACATGTCCAACTCCCAGGCTCCTCTGTCCACGGGATTCTCCAGGCAAGAATACTGGAGTGGGTTGCCATTTTTTAAACTGAACATAATTCAACATAACGACTTTGGGAATGTTCTCTCTCTCTGGTTTAGCCACGTGATTCCAGTAAGAATTCCTGTTCTGTGATTCTGCCCTCCCTGGCTGCAGACAGTGTGAACAGACATCATGACCCATGCCAGCCAGTCAGAATCCTCCCTGCTATTTTTCAAACAACAAAAAAGAAAGAGAGCCAACGACTCCTTCTGGAAACGGTACGTGTGATACTCTTGAAATGGAGCAGGACCCTAAGGTCCTTTCTCCTTATGTCCTCTGACTGCCTTTTGTCTGTGGAAAAACTTTAGCCAAAGAATAAATTTAATCAGAGGAAACAGTCGAAGGAAACCAAATAATAACAATTAATAATAGTCATTAAGTATCGTCAAGGACTTTTAGTTCCTTCTCAAGGAGGAACTAAAGGGCTATAGATAATATTCTCAAGGGCTATAGATGATATTCTGAACCATGTCCTGTGAGCTGTTTTATAGATACTGAAACCCCCACCAGGTGGAAGAAGTTAACAATATGATGCCTAGACTGTAGTCATGACATAATCTGCCACAATTTTGAGAACTGGCCTCAAAGAAACAGAAACAAATAGACCCGGAACCGAAGATTAACTGTACCTAAAACAACCAAGATGATGATAGTCGGACCACTGAGGACCAGTTTCAAGATGACTGTCAGAGCTGACTCCTGTTTCTGCATGTAGCTCCCTCCTTCTGTCTATAAAAGTCCTTGCCCACTGATCATCAGTGGGGAGAGTTGGCCTTTGGACAGGCATCCAAAATCAAGCAAACTTGCCTTTCCAACCATCTGGCCTCTCTAATGGTTTTTGAGCGATCCCATTTTCAGCAACTCTCTGAGGCTGTCAGTGGTTCCATAATCCACTATGAGAAAGAGGTTGGATTGGGCCAGAGAAAGTGAGGCCAAGGCAGAGAGAGAAGCAGAAGTGAGAAATTTCTAGTTCTCTAAAGAGGGGATCTCTGGCCTCCGATTTTAGCCGTTCCTGAGTCTCAGCTGCTTCCCTGCTCCCCTCCTGGTATAGCCACTCAATCATCCCTTTGATTATATGAGAGATCTTAGTTTTCACCTGAACACGTTCCCTTTATGTTTGGTCTAAACCAGTTTGAATTGTGTTTCTGTCATTCACAACTGAAAAAAAACCAAAAAACATATTTTCTTTTTACTGGAAAATGATTCTCTGAATTTTTTTAAAAAACTGATGATGTAATTCAGAAGCACAGTAATAGTTACACTGGGGTTTGATGGCATGAACTGAAACTACTTCAGCAATGTACTGAAGTTTGCCTGCCAGCAAAGGCAATGACCCTGGTTGTGCCACTGAGGTCAAGTCACCTAGTAGGAATTAAAAGACTGCGGCTTCAGTGAAGTTGTAAGTGTACCTATATTATACTGTATTGACCAAAAAGTTCATTTGGATTTGTCTGTAAGATGATATGGAAAAATCCAAACGAACTTTTTGGCTAACCCAATCATTTTCATCACTATGATGAGAATTATTTAGATATTTATTTTCTTCTGAGTTTAGCCTTATGTTTTCTTATAAAAAGCCTCCTTCTTTCATTGGTACACTTTTCTGAAATACCATCCTCCCATTTTGTTGTTGTTTAGCTGCTAGGTCATGTCTTACTCTTTTGCAGCCCCATGGATGGTAGCCTGCCAGGCTCCTCTGTCCATGGGACTTCCCAGGCAAGAATTCTGGGAGCAGGTTGCCATTTCCTTCTCCAGGGGATCTTCCTAACCCAGGAATTGAACCTGAGTCTCCTCCATTGGCAAGTGGATTCTTTACCACTAAGTCACCACGGAATCCCCCAATCCTCCCATAGACCTCTGTTTCAAATTGTGTTTGTGTTCTTTGAGCATCTGGTATAGCATTTATAATTTCATATGCCACCTGCATACAATGGATAACTCAGCCAGGCTTCATGTGACATTTCTGAAGACACAGGTGATAGTTGGGGGCTTTGTATTTGATAATGTATGAGACTCTTCTCATCCTTAAATCCCCTGTTGGGATGAATATCCACACCAGGACTCCTGCTGCTTCTTGCAGAACAAAGCTATGCTTGGCTGATGCGGGAAAAGAAGAAATGAATATGGATAATGAGGAGAAGGCAGTTTTATTCGACAGCCTGGTGTCTCGCAGGGGAAAAAAGCCTAAGAGGCTTTAAAAAAATGACACAATTTAAAAATCACTTTATCTTTCCTGTCTTTTTGGCCTCCATGAATCATAAGTCACCTGAGCCTTGCTGTAGAAGGCTCCAGACTGTGTTCTGAGCTGTGAAATATGTGAGAAGATAACCTGGGGACCAGCTGTACCCCCCACTCTACAGAGATCCTAGACTCATTTACATCTACTCTGACACACGTTCTTGGATTCAAAGAAAAAATGTGTGCTGCAGAAAAAGATGTCACTAATTTTGTTCTTTTACACATAGCATGTGTAACTCTCTCTAATTTCTCCAAGAAAAACAAACAAAACCTCACATATATAATAGACTGCCAAAACTCCTAAGGTTATAAGAAACACCAGGTTCTTTTATGCTCAGGAGACACGGGGGTCTAGTCCAATCCATCCACCATCCACACTTACCGTGGCCTAAATGACATGAGAAACACAGTAAAAATCCCCTGAAAGAAAAATTGTTCTGACTCTCAATCCTCACTTTGCTTCCCCCTCACTTTCTATCCCCCTGGTTTTCAGTGTTACCATGGAAAACACCTCCTGTTCCAATGTTTGTTCACCCCAGTGCCTACATCTATTTTCTCCTTGCCTTAATTTGTGCCACCCAAACACTGACCTACTAAGGGATAAAGGATGTAGGGACCTACATCCTTCGCTCTGAACCAGCACACCAGACAACCCTGAGCCCAATGATCATTCTGCCCGTTATGAATCACACCACTGCTGAATCGCACTCAGCATTGCCCAGTGAGCAGAGGATTGATGCAGGTACAAGTCTCCAATCCAATGCCCACAGAGGGCAGGAAATACTTTATCTACTCACCTCAAACTGAAGAGAAAATTTATAGTCAGAGTCTTTGGCCATATCCTTGATGTAGGCATCAAAGTCATCCAGTTGAACCGGGCTTTGTCAAACACAAAGAAAGGTACATTTTAAAAATCCTGCTGATAGATGTCATACAATGTTTAACGCCTTACTTCTCAAACATGAACAATTTCCTTGCAGAAAACAGACATTTTACTTCTCACAGGTTAGCACTCATTTTTTTAGGGTTAAAATTATGAATCCCTAATATATCATAATTAAAAAAGAGAGCCCTATATACTTAACTTCTTTGAGATAGGAAAAATCTCTAGATTTTCCACTGGCTTTTATTTTAGCAGCAACATATTTCACACACACATACTCATACACACACAGGAATATGTGTTGTTTCTAGAAAACTCCAATTTATGGGAAAAAACCAAGGATTAGCCTGAAGACCTGTTTGAATTATAGTTTTACTTTATTTACTTAACTCTCCTGAGATTTAACATGCTCATCTATGAAATATCGTAAGGACACTTACATCGCAAGGTTGACACTTGTATATCATAGACACCTGTAAATTTAAACAGTTTGACAAAGGCAAGGAATTGTGTCCCCCCAGAGAAAAGGCTGGAAGCATATCTCCAGGGAGTTCCCAGTGCCTTGCTCAGAGAGGGCTGTGTTCAGAGCCTTGCACATCTCCAGAAGTCTCAAAACAGTTGGTATGTAAAATAAAGTATCACATCCGACTTTACATTTCTGCATATGCCACAGAAGTTCTCACCTTGTTTTTGTTTTGTGGAATAAGAATTCAGTTCTATTTCCTGTAGTTTTCTCTAGCTGCTTATCTCTTCTAGAGCTTACCTGTCCCAATCTGTTCTCAGAGCTTCTGCAGGACACAGCACCTAACTCTGTCAGGACTCTGTCACCTAACCCAAGCCTTTCCACCTTACCAGGGTCCACAGAGTTAGCCTTTTTCTTAGTCTTGCTGCAACTTACTCAGCTTATGTCATCCACCTGTGGACTTATTTCTCATCAGCAAATACATAACATATAATAGATATTTGTTCAAAGTTGTTGATTAGCTCATCTGATAGATTAATTTATGTTTTTAGTAGATTTTAAGGGTATTATGCCTTGTATTATGCCTCCAGATAATACAAATTGTAATGGTTTTATTTAATAATAATAACACCGACTGGTACCCTTAAGAGTGTGTTTGTGTGTGTGTGCGTGTATGTGAAAATTGCTCAGTCAAGTCTGACTCTTTGTGACCCCATGGATTGTAGCCTGCCAGGCTCCTCTGTCCATGGCATTCTCCAGGCAAGAACACTGGAGTGGGTTGCCATTCCCTTCTTCAGGGGACCCCTCCCAACCCAGGGATAGAACCCAGGTCTCCCACACTGCAGGCAGATTCTTTACCATCTGAGCCTCCAGGGAAGCCCTGTACCCTTAAAACATACTGCTGCTGCTGCTGCTAAGTCGCTTCAGTCGTGTTCGACTCTGTGCGACCCCATAGACAGCAGCCCACCAGGCTCCCCTGTCCCTGGGATTCTCCAGGCAAGAACACTGGAGTGGGTTGCCATTTCCTTCTCCGTGAAAACACTATAAATCGTAAATATGCTTATGCGTTATCTTGCTTGGCTGATGGTTGAGATTAGACATGGACAACATTAGCCTCATGCTTGGGCTTTCCTGGTGGCTCAGACAGTAAAGAGTCTGCCTGCAATGCAGGAGATGTGGGTTCAATCCCTCAGTCGGGTAGATCCCCTGGAGGAGGGAATGGCTACCCACTCCATTATTCTTGCCTGGAGAATCCCATGGACAGAGTAGCTTGGTGGGCTATAGTTCATGGGTTCACAAAGAGTAGGACGTGAATGAATGACTAATACACACTTTCACTTCACTTTTCAGAAGGAGCTCCAGAGAGAGCCAAGGCTGAGACAGTTAAGTGAGGAGTTCAAGATTTCAGGGCTACTAAGCCAGAGAATGCTAAGTATAACCAAGGAGAAGGACTCCTGGTTAAAAGCTTTCTCATTCAAACTTGCCATCCTTCTAAAAGAACAGCTAACTTGGGGGCGGGTGGAGGGTCCCCTCCCTGCTGTTTCTGAGCAATACGTTGACCTTGAAATTGGGCTTAATGATTCTAGTTCTCATCCCATTAGGAGGAAAATGGGATTAGAAAAAGCAAAAGCAAGAAGGGGAGGAAGAAGAAAGTCAGAGGAAGGACCAGGAAGTAGAAAGATGGGCCTCAGGGAGAGGAGGAGAAGACAGAGAAAGCTGGTAGGGAGCAGAAATCAATCGGGGTGTGGCGGGGGGAATGATTTAGACCAAGAGGGAGAAAAAGGAGGTGAGAAAGGAGAGGAATGAAGGTATGTGGAGAGAGGGAAGGTGGTAATGGTGGGGGCATTTGGACTGAAAGAGAAAAGATAAAGGGAACGTAAGTGGTAAGATGGAGGGAGTCCCTAAAAAATGGCCTGTAGGGGGGGAGGACAGAGGGAAATGAGAAGAGAGAAGGAGGAAGTTAGCCTGACATGGGGTTTTGGCTTATGGGCAGGTTCCACCATATCTATACACCACTCCAAACTCGGGTCCACCTCCTGCTTCTCCTCTCTGCCTCCATCTGGGGTCCCCTCTTGGTCCCGAGACCCCAACCTCTAACTGCTCTAATGTATGCCTCTGGACCTCACTTAACAACCCAACTAAAAATTTGGGGCAACAAAGTGTTTCTATGTCTGTCAAATCATTCTTTCCAGCTGACAGCTCCTCTCTTCTGCTTCGGCTGGTCTTGTCTCTCCTACCTCACTTGATAGACGCCAATGGAATGAGTATTAATTTGAAATAGATTCAGGAAAAAAAACATTCTGTCATCTATATGTGCCAAAGCATTATATGTCACTCAGAGCTGAATAGAAATATTTTGGACTAACTTTTCTTTTGTGTTATGTACTCCATTAGCAGAGATACCGTGGAACTGACTGAAACCCCTTAATTGGCTCTTTGATGAATTTACCAATATTCTGTCCCAGGCAAGTATGAAGAATAAAGTCTATTTATAGAAATTATCCACTCTTTATGTGTAGAGTTTTAACTAAAGGCCTAGAGGTGATACTCTAATTAGGCTTTTGAAATCAACTGATAGTTCATTTTCACCCCTCAGAATTATAGTTCTTACGACTTAACCGTTCAGTAGATAAGTGAAACCACAGGCAAGGTAAAGGAATTATCCTTTTCAACTTATTATAAAGATTTCCTGAGACAGCATTTACCAAAGTATTTGTTATAACATCAAATAGAATAAAAGCCTTTTTCCTGCAATAAGCATGAAATTTGAAGCTACAAAATAGCAAAGGTTTTTGTACTACTTTGATGTAGCTAAACATTATATATTTTTTTATAGATATAGAAGAGTAGACGTCCTTCTGTAAGACTTTTATAATTCCTAACAACCCATTCTTCCTCAGATTTCATGCAGTGAGAATTTTCCTTGTTCTTGAAACGTTTTCTGTTGGTACGCTTTCTTGGTGGTCACTGACATCCATATGTGTAAACACACCAACACATAATATGATATGCATTTGCCTCTTTCTCAAGCTTCCTTCTGTTAAAGATATACAATCTTTTCAATTTGGAAAGTGAAGATCATTATGAAGAATATTTTTAAATGAAAAAGTAAGAAAAACTTACTTAGTCAGTTTCCTCTTCTTTAAGCCATTTTTACTCCTGAGAATTAAAAAAAGAGAAGCAAATTTATCTGGGCTAAAGAATTGATTAACATATGATTAAGCTTAGGGAGCTTTAAATAATTATTGTACATCAGGCACCTCTATTATATCTAATTTTTATTAGACATGCCTAATTTGTTTACTTTCCCTTAAATGAAAAGATAATGACAAAAATTTAAGATTCATTTAAAAAAAATTCCATTAGATTTCAGAAGCAACCTATACTTTATATTTCAGATTTGCCAAAAAGCTGAGTTCTAGAAATATAATTTCTATAAGTTGCTGAAGTGTTTTGTAAATATGTAGAAATATCTACTTGGTGAACACTCTAGGTTTTACAGGCAAGTAGAAAAAAAATTGGGAAATAAAGGCAACAGCTGATGGACGGAGAATAGACATACTAGTTTTTAAATTAAAGACTAAAAAATAACGTTTTTTGGACATTTCAACAGGAATGTGAATTTGTGCTATCAGTGTTGCCATGCATCATAAATTCTACTATAGCATTGTTCTTATTCAGTTTTGAACGAAGTTTTAAGCTATCTGAAGAATTGCACCTAGTACCTGCTTATTCCTGTTTCATTACTAGTCTGCAAACTCAAACACATATCATACTAATTATGCTTCAGCTAGTTACATTTTAAGAGTATTTTAAATGTTAATTATTTTCTACCAACATGTTAAGACAACTGACCTAAGTTACTTAAAGCTAGGATAGTATCTGCTGAAAGGCTTCATTATTCTATTTAGATTGTCTTAAATAAATGATATTGATACATAATTGAGTGTTACAACTTTTATAAGTAATTTTCAAAGGCCCTGAAATATTGATGGGAGCACCCAGACTTTCAGAGCACAAACAATAGGTAGTAAATAGCCAGCTGTGATCTGAGTACTCTTATATGACAAAATATTTATTGATATTTAAAATTATGAATATTTGGGTACCCCCATTTCTGGGAAGTCTTTAGCAAATGAAGTACTACTTCCTCTGGGATTTCATAGAACTTGATTCATGGAGTAGTTCTCACGTGGTCTGACCATGAGTTGTATACGCACTCCTTGCTAGATTGTCCTTGTCCTCAGACCTGAGTACAGTACAGTGTACTGAGTACAGTACACTGGTAGGTGGCCAATAAATGCTTATTTAATTGAATTGAAACAAAACATCTTTATTATATCATCTTCACAATTTTACTTAATGATGCAATTAATAATTGGATATTAGACTTGGGCTCATGAAGGATCCCACTGGGGAAATGGCACTTGTGGGTGAAGGGGAAGTAACAGAGTGAAGGACATATTCATAAATGAAAGTGGTGTTTCTGATTTTCCTTTTCTAGTTTCAGAGAGTTTTTATTTCTTCCCAATTCTTAGTGAAAATAATCCATTCAATAGTTCTTGTTGTTTCTTTTCTCTGTCAGCCTCTTTTTGTCTTTCATATTTGGGATTTAGAAGGAATAAATAAACATTTAGGTTTTTACTTTGCCTCTTCATCATCTCTCCCCCACAGAAAACCCCCCCAAAACAAAAAAAACACTGTCATATTGGACAGAGCTGTGCCACATAGGTGTTTGGGAACCTAAAGAGATTACTTCTTGAATAATTTTCTTAGATTGGAGTATAAATGCTTTCCAATGTTGAGTTAGTTTCTGCCATACAATGAAGTGTATCGACGATGTGTGTACATATATCTCCTTCCTCTCACCCCTCCCCCACCCTTCTAGGTCATTACAGAGCATCAAGATGAGCTTCCTGTGCTATTGAATAATTCTTCTACTCTGCTCTTGTAATGAAGAAAAGTTATGACCAACCTAGACAGCACATTAAAAAGCAGAGATATTACTTTGCCAACAAAGGCCCATCTAGTCAAGGGTATGGTTTTTCCAGTATTCATGTATAGATGTGAGTTGGACCATAAAGAAAACTGAGCGCCGAAGAATTGATGCTTTTGAACTGTGGTGTTGGAGAAGACCCTTGAGAGTCTCTCTTGGACTGCAAGGAGACCCAACCAGTCCATCCTACAGGAAATCAGTCCTGAATATTCATTGGAAGGAATGATGCTGAAGCTGAAACTCCAATACTTTGGCCACCTGATGCGAAGAACTGACTCATTGGAAAAGACCCCGATGCTGGGAAAGATGGAAGGCAGGAGGAGAAGGGGACGACAGAAGATGAGATGGCTGAATGGCATCACTGACTCAATGAGCATGAGTTTGAGTAAACTCTGGGAGTTGGTGATGGACAGGGAGGCCTGGAGTGCTACAGCCCATGGGGTCTCAAAGAGTCGGACACGACTGAGCAACTGAACTGAAATGAACTGTAGTGATAACTTAGGAATCCTACATTTACTTCCTGTAGGAGGAGCCCATTACTTTAGTGCCTGATGAAAGCAGAATTTTAGCATAATAAGGAACAGTTCTGGTAACTCTGGAGGTTGCCAACATATTTTGTAATTCAGAGTGAAATTAAAAAAAGAAAAACATAAAACCTTTGTGATCCAAACTGACTTTAAGGGAAACCAGGAGGAAACAAATGTCTCTGGTAGGGTGACACTGAATAAATGTAGTGCTGAAATATTAAGCCGCTACTATTCCACAGCTGTCTTGAAACCTGATTCATGGAGGAGAGACACTAGTTTTTTCTTTCTGTCACATTCACTGATTGAGTGAACCTAAAATACAGTATGAAATTCTACCACATGTTTTGTATGCTCTTGTCTTAAGTATATGTCTTTATAGTTTGTGTACAACTTTCATTGTTTTGATTAGATTTTACTGAATTGCTGAAGATTCCCAAGGGTTCTTGTTATGTAAAGCCATGGGACATGCCAGTACTGAATTGTGGGACTTCACAGCAAGACTGAGAGAATTTTCCCACATTTTCAATGGCTGTACTGATCCTATGACTCAAATTAAGGGAAAATTTGCTTTTAAACATGTAAGTTCAGGCTTTGCTAGCAGTCTTCCCTTCAGCACTTTATGAACAGGGCTTATGAGTGTGTGCCTGCCACAGTGAGCAGTTTGGGTGATGTTGAGGTCATCATCTTGTCATTGCAAAATATTTTCTGAATAACTGGTTAATAATACCCACCTGACATATAGCATATACACATATAGGATCATGCACTTCTTTTACTTTTTCTCTTTCACTTGCTTTAGATAAGGTTCAAAACCCTAATGATGTCAAGAAGTTAAGATGCATTAGGATGGAAGGGAGGTTCAAAAGGGAGGGGACATATGTATACCTATGACTGATTCATGTTGATTTATGAAAGAAACCAAGAATATTGTAAAGCAATTATCTTCCAATTCAAAATAAATACATTTTTATAAAAAGATGCATTCTTTATAAGTTCTTCATGATTATGACTGTTTTGGAAAGCCCATCAGAATGGAATTTATACTGAGAGGAATACCAGCCAATGGCAGAGACATGGGGTTTATGATTGTTATGATTGTTAAAAACAAACACAAAGGAAACCTGAAAACAGTAAACAAAAAACTCTAAGCATTATTTACTTTTTCATGATACAAACATAAATCATCTTCACATCTTAAACAGGTCTTTAGAGTTACGTCATTCTCTGAATAGAACATGCAACAAACAGGAGTAAAGCTGAGCAGTAATATTGCAACATATGCTTAAAATACTGACTATTTAGCATTTAGAACAGGTCAGATGAGTATGTGATAACAGCATGATAGTAAAGAAAAGAGAGTAACAACGCTGAATCTGGAGAGAGCTGGTCCAAATGAGATGGTTTTCTTTAAATAGGAAATACAATCTGAGATCACTAAAGTCAGAAATCCTGGCAGAATGCAATTTTAAGATTAAGCCAATGGGCATATAGGCTCCACAGTGACTCTGCCACTACTTGGGAAAAGATTTGAGCAACCCTATTTAGGCAGGAGACAGATGGGCTCGGCAGGGTAAACCAATGGGAGATTCATTCTCTACTGGCAAGAAAAGAATAGCAGAACAATTAAGGGAGGAGGCTGGCCCTTGCTCAGACCACGTATTTCCTGTTCCTTAAGTCAGGAGACCTCCCCAACCTCACCTGCAGAGAAAGGCTCCTTGGAGGTCAAAGAGGAAATAATGTTAAGGGATGCTCTGCCCAGATGCCTTTGAGGCAGAGATGTGTGGGAGGATCCTTCCACAACATGGGAGCATCCTGAGATATATCAAATATGGACTGTGAACCAAGCAAATCAAAATGATTGGCTGAAGGAAACCCAGAAGAGATGCCCAATAAAAGCAATTCAAATTTCCATGAGGGTGCGACTCAGCGACTCTCTCTCTCTCCCTGAGTCTGCCTGTGTTCCAGCCACATGTACTGTACATTTTCCCTCTGAATAAGTACTCTACTTGTTTCGTTACTTTCCCTCTTTGTGAAACTCTTTTCTGCAAAGCCGAAGGGCCAGGGGTCTTGTCATTGACCACTGGTCTGGTGGCTAGGATCTGGTGTTTTCACCACTGTGACCCAGCCCAATCTCTGGCTGTGAACCAAGCCCTGCTCCAAGCCATTACCAGCTGAGGTCACCTGAGATCAATACGAGGGAGAAAGAGTCTCTGAATTTCCACACAAACCATAAGAAGCATCAGGAGGATTTTAGACAATCATCAGGAACATATCTATCCAAGAAGTTAACAGTTTAGAGATGAAGCCGGGCAGTGTTAAGAATGAAGGGGATGGCTCTGTTATTTGAGGTGGTTGTTAATAGAGGAGTGAAATATGAGGACAGACACATCTGAAGGAGGATTTAAAAAGACTACTTAGCAAATGAAAGCAGGGGGAAATATCCACAATTTATGAGATAAAGAGAAAAGTAGCAATGAGTAGGGAATTTGGGTGGCTTTGTGAGAGTACTGAACTGTAATTGAAGGAACAGGGACCCTTTTACCTCTTTTATAGGACATTTTATAGACATTTATCTTTTATAGAGGATATTTTACCTCTTTTATATCTTGCATAGCACAAGTCTAGGGCTGGAAACACAGTTTGGGTTCAGTGTATTTTCATTGGTTGTTATGGGTGCAGTTGATGGAAAATGCAGAAAGCCTGGGGCTCCATCTTTTGCTTTCTCTTCTCATCTGGAGATAACCATTTATAGCCTCAGGACCATTTTTCTAAAACCACTGAATGGACTTTTCCCTTCCAAAGTTGGGTCTCATGCTATTTGAGCAGTACTATAAATAACAGACCTTGAAGGGGTTGCTGAAATTTGAACCTGTGTTCATCAGTGGGAGCGCTTTCCCGGTAGCTCAGCTGGTAAAGAATTCGCCTGCCATACAGATGACCCCAGTTCGATTCCTGGATTGAGAAGATCCCGGGAGAAGGGATAGGCTACTCATTCCAGTATTCTTGGACTTTCCTGATGGCTCAGATGGTAAAGAATCCTCCCGCAATGCAGGAGACCTGGGTTTGATCCCTGGGTTGGAAAAATCCCCTGGGGAAGGGAATGGCTACCCACTCCAGTTTTCTTGCCTAGAGAATTCCATGGACAGAGGAGCCTGGCAGGCTATAACACATGGGATCGCAAAGAGTTGGACATGACTGAGCGATTAACACTTTTACTGCCTTTTCAATTTTCACCATACATAAACACCATCTGATGTCAACTTAAAACATTGATTGACTGTGGTGAAGTCCTATACATGAGACTTAAGAATAAACTAGGAATAATAGTGAAGGGGTCTTTCTCATCCAGCACATTCCTCTGACTTTGTTACTTACACAGCAGTGTCTACCATGTTTCAGAAAATTTTCAACTAGTCCTTTTTTTTTTTTGATAAAGAAAATACAAATTCTGGTATTAACAATCTCCATCATGAGGACATTCTTTTTTATACTTTTCCACTTGCAGATCAAAGTTCTAACTTTTCCCACTGTATTTATTCTGTCTTCAGAGAAGCGGAATATTTGATCAATTCTATTTGAATGGCTATCTCTCCAGATTGCTTTAAATCTTGAATTCTGTCCCCTCCCCCACCATGAGATCTTTTCCCACTCCATGAACTGTTTTTATTGTTTTTATCTGAGTCCTTCTCAAGTTGTCCAGGTTTCTGGATCCATTCGTACAAAATTCAGTACCTAAACACCATGGACTAATACTTAAGGACAATAATTTTTTTTTCCTCTGAGAAACTGCTGCCTTATGCTGGCTTTTGGTTCAGAAAAAGAAATAGTTCTTCTGGATACATTAATCTCAAAATTCAAGATCATTATCATTATACTCTATAAAAACTAAAAGATACTCTTTGAGATTTGATTATTAAAATGATTTAAAAGTCAAGAAAATAAGAATTTAGAGGAGGCTTTTTAGAGAGGAAAGAATAGATTTCAGAGACACTTGGGTTTGGAATCTGAATTTTCTATATAGTCATGTGATGTCAAGATAGCTAATCTTTTTCCTCTATTTCTACCACTGTAAAATGATGCTGATAACACTCTCTGCAGAGGTGTGGGGACAGTTAAATCAAAGGATTATACAAAGAGGCTCACACATAGTCAGTGGTTCAATATTCACTGAGTGAGCAATGTGCATCATTATAAAAACATAAAGCTCCCCTAAAACAGAGTACAGTGTTCTGGGTTTCTTTGTCTGATTGTGTGGTTTTTTTTTTTCTTCTTAGAAATATGGAGCTAACCAATGGAAATTGTGAGAAAAATGGAACGCATCATTTTTAAAGATGAGAGGCCATGGACTAACTCAACGATGAAATGAATAACTTAATAGATGGAAGAAAAGCTTGCCAAGAACATCACAAGAAGAAAATTTAATTGGGAAAACATTATAGTTAGCATCTGGGTACCATTAGCTGCTTTAATCCATTTCAATACATTATTAATAATTTCACATGCTGCTAAACACATAAAATCATTAAAAAGGGTTTTCTCTTTGGTTTATTTCTTGAAAGCTAACTTTTAAAATTTTGTGTTAGGTAAACAGTAAAAAAGTCACTTACCAAGGATTAATATAAAATGCCAAAAGATAATCAGTCCAAAGACATGAGGGTAGCAGGGTTAAGAAAGCAAATATACTCCTACGCCTGTGAGCGTTGATAGATAACAGATGTAAAGATGAAAAAGTGGCAAGAGTTAGTAATACAAGCTGTGAACAGAGATCAGTAAATTACCGACTAGGATCAATTAAAATGACAAGCACCTTAATTACAGTTAAATATTATTCCATTCCCTGAAATTTAAACATGAGGGCTTAAATGCGATAATATTGCCCAAATCAGTTTTATTCACATGCAGCGTTATTGTAATCAGATATATTTCTTTCAATTTGGTTTGTGTCAATTAGCCTGCTATTAGGTGATTACATTTTGCATTCATTTAAATGAGGCTCTGAAATGCCTCATTAGTTACCTCCAGTCTTATTCTTGGATATTACCCTTGCAACGCTTAAGGCTATTTTAAAAAATCTGTAACATCATTTGCCAGCTAACGGCAGCTTGTGTAAGGAATACAAATGGTTAGTTTGAGTATACTGATTCTGGTAAACAAGCTTTCAGAACACATTCTTATAAAGATGCACTGCTAGGTATGGCTTTCTATATTATTTAAAATATAAATGATTATAATATACAATTCCTCAAAATAATCCTTAAAACAAGGGTATGACATGACATCCACATACCATTCATCCAACATATTACTATGTAGCTCACCGACTAGTTTCTAATCTTACTTATACTCCATGGAGTGGGAGCAAAATTACTTAGCTTCACGTTAATTCTAATGCAGACTGTTGATTTAAAAATGCCTGATTTGAGTCAGATTTAGATATTTAAAACCTAGTAAGATAAAGCATTTATTAATGTAGATTTTAAAATATCCTTTGGTTGTATTTATAGTTATTCTGAGAATTAAGGAAAATGACTTTGTCCGTTTGTTACTTTAGTTATTACACATCTCCACTGAGATATGTATTCTCAGTTAGCCAGAAAATGTTAACGTTGGCAACACTGTCTTTTGCCCAGAGCTGCACAAGAATTTTTCTTAATTTTATAGGAATGTCCTGAAATGAATTCTCTTCTGTTTCAGTTCTCCCATAACTGATCTCTCATAAAGTTTGTAAATTGTGACCAGTTGTGTAGTTAGTAAATATATTGATCTGAGTCACAAGTACAATGTTATCAGTTTCTAGATGGGCCCCTCATCACTACTCTGTGAATGGGTCTTTTTTAAGGGTGAGACAGGCAAGCAATGGGATTGTCCAGGTGGTACTAGTGGTAAAGAATCTGCCTGCCAACCAGGAGATGCAGGTTTGATCCCTGGGTTGGGGAAATCCCCTGGAGTAGGAAATGGCAACCCACTCCAGCACTCTTGCCTGGGAAGTTCCATGTACAGAGAAGCCTGGTGGGCTACAGATCATGGGGTTGCAAAGAGTCTGACACAGCTGAGTGACTGAGCATAGGCAAGAAATGAATATCAGTGAGTCAGTCTCTTAATCTTGGAGACAGTGCTAATAATATTTGAATAAACCTAGAAATGTTTTCTAACTTTTTACTATCAAGAGTTTATGGGTTACTCTTGATAGTCGGATGAATCATATTTGAATAGCAAAATTCCATTCAGGGTGAAATTTTAAAATAGCACAGCATATTGTCTTATTAAAAAGAATCCTATATCACCTAGATTTTCAACTAAAGTGGTCTCAACTAGTTACCTGTTTAGCATTTACAGTTTAAATAAAGCACCCCCTCATTAATTCTGAGAGTAAAATTTCTAGTATAACATATCTACTTCTTTCAGATTAAACATTTTTAGGGGGTTAGGAAAATAGAAAAAAAATCACCGAGGATTAACATGAAATGTATATCTTTAGAGGTATTTTGCATGGAGTTGCTTGTGAAAGAAACTAGAACATGTAAGCAGGGCTGGCTTCATATTAAATGGTTACTTAATTGGCAATTTTGTTGGGTATTCACTGCTATGCATAGGATCATTAATTCATATGGATCACTGTTAGGTATAATGTCAACTGATTTAACTTCATGACAATGCTTTCTTAGTTCTCAGAATACCCCCTCCCTCCAAGTCCTTAATACTCAAGCATATAGAAATAACGAGGCTACCTTTCTCAGGGACACTTTGGTATTTATCTTCCTGTAAACATAAGAGTTGAGAGCCCTGAAATGTATCCTTCTACTTGATTTTTCAACAAAAGTAGTGGCTCAGGCACTGAAGCTTGAGTTTTAAACAGAGATGCTGCTCTGTCTCTTGGCTACTTCCCTGGACTATCCTCTTCCATCTTCAGCCACACTTCCTCCATGACCCTCCTGCATTAACCCTTCATCAGCCCAGCTGTGGGCAACTCACACAACTGCTTCATTTCATTTCTTTGTGTAATGTATCAGTACAGAGCTGACCACCTGATTTTCTCTCCTTAGTTAAATTAAGCTTATATATGCTAATGTACTCTGTGAAGAAGTCATCTTCAAGTTCACCATCACTGAAATTATGAAAGGATAACCAAGCAAAACCATCTATTTACAAAATACAGCACAATCAAGTTTGGAGCACACACAACATAGTCAAGCTACCTAGAGACTTGTTCCAAAACAGTACTGACCAGTTGTATGGGAGCTTCCCATCCCGCTCCAAGGACGCAAAATTGACAAAAGTTCCTGCTCCACACTCCCTGTTGGAAAAGAACCACAAAATCAAGATCAGCATTTGACAGAGCACGTTTTACTTTGACATAAAAGTCTTTATGTCAAGGTAAAAAGTTATCTTAAGGTAAAAAACCTTGATGTCATCTCAGAGAATGAGATGGCTGGGCAGCAACACTGATGCAATAAACATGAACTTGGGCAAACTCTGGGAGATGATGAGGGGCAGGGAAGACTGGTGTGCTAGAGTCCACGGGGGCACAGAGAGAGACACAACTGGGTTCCTGAAGAATAGCAAAAAAGAGTCTTTAATAACTAACCATCAGAGCATTAACAATTAAAAAGTCAATATAAGTTGCTTGCATTCCGTATTTGGATATGATGCAAAATAGAAAGACAAAATTTTTCACAGGGGCGCACACACCCAAGTCAAGTTATTTGAAGCTGAAAAGATATGGTTCACAATCCTTATGAAAGTGCACTCATGATTGTAAACTAACTGTTGAATGAACTCTAGTGGGTAGAATACTTTTATTATTATTATTATTTTTACAAAACCTTCACTAGCAAGGTATAGAAATTGCTCTTAGATAGACTAAAGGTTTTCCATTCTTAGCAACTATTCCTTGTTTTTATAGCATTTTGATTTCCTCTTTAGTAAATGGTGGATCAAACTGAACAGTCTTCTCCCTCCAAAACTTTCCTCTTATGTTGTTACCCCCATATTATTCATCACTTGAGATAAGAGTGATACATACTGAAATGGATTGGCTTTTGCAGTCAGTAGAAAATATTGTTAAAGTTTTTATTTTTTTTTCCAGAAGTGGAGGGAAAAGGTAAACATAATTCTCATGCTTTCTCCGTCTTTGGGTTAACATGTGGAAATAACATAGCTCACTGGGGTGCATACATTTCATTTTTTTCTCTCTATGAAATTGATGGGCTTATTCAGAACTGAAGCAGAGATTCTGACATTATTGGCACCATGTAATTACTTCAGTTATCCGTCTGTCCTCATTAGTGTTCTAAGAATAGCTTTCTTCCTTGAAAAGCACACTAACATATTATTATTTCATGTGGTATATATTATAAATTGGATATCATCAATTAATTTTCCTATATCAATTTCCTGTATATGGGATTTCTTTTACTCTCTAACTCAAGGGTTCTTAATCTAGGGTCCAAGGATAGAATTTATAGCTCTGTGAACGTATGTGGGAAAAAAACACATCTTTATTTTCACAATTTATAACTGAAATGTAGTAATTGCTTCAAGTATTAAAGTATGCAACAAGCCCCAATGACACCATCAGCACTTGTGAGATTTGCTAATAGAAACTGAAGACTTTTTCTACAATAGAACTGCTGTGGGTATTAAAATATTGTTCATTGTCATCACTCTGATGAAATTTGAGAGTTCTTAGATTTCCTACTAAATATTGTTATCAACTGTGTTAATAAAGAAGCATACAACTCATCTGTTTTCGGAATACTTTGATTACCTCATTTTCATATAATTATTTTCTTTTTTAATCTTATGTGTCTTATTTTATGCATTTAGTAGGAAAGCACTATTCTTGGAAGAGATCTACAGGCTTCATCAGATTGCCAGAGAGAACCATGTACAAAAAATATTAAGAATCTCTACTCTGATGACAAGCTGGCTGAAGTAGAATCATTCCTCATAAATATTTGCCTGTATGCATCACAAAGGATGCTCCTGCAACAATACCCTCATAAATACCTTTACTCCCATTTCTACTTCTGTTACCAATCCCCCTTACTATTACTATTAACAGCTAACATTTATTGCATGCTTCCTATGACACTACGCTATTGCTGCAATATTGTTCCTGACTAATCTCTAATGCAGGGCTGTTATCATCTCTTTTTGATAAATGCTCTTTCCCTTGCTTCTAGGTTACTACACTCTCCCAATTTTTCTTCCACTCCACAGGATGCCTCTTGTCAGCTTTGTTTTTGCCATTATCTTTCATTTTCTCTCTAAAAATCTTAGATTGTTCTGGTGCTTAACCCAGGGCCCTCTTTTCTAATTTACACTTCATTCCTGGACTACCTCCAGTCTATAGCTTTAATACCATTTATATGCTAAGAACTTCCAAACAGAAAGTACTTGAGGATGCACTCTGATAAGAAATGCATCAGTGGTCAAAGGAATAGGGAATCCACAAAATCGTAAATCAAAAGGCTTTCCTAACAGCAAGAAAAATGAAACTGCCTGCAAATCTGTGTAATAGGAACAGAACGAACAGGGGAACTCAAAAGGACCTTTTCATAAACTCAACAGATATTTTCTGAAAAACAGCTTCAACAGAACTAATGAGGAAAGGGATTTCTTTTCTTCTTTGTGGTCTCCATATATATTAACTCCTTTCATTTATCATACTTAGTAGGCATAGATCTTTCTTTTATCCCAAAATATTGTGAAAGTGAAAGTGAAAATGTTAGTCGTTCAGTTGTGTCCGACCTTTTGTGATTCCACAGATTGTAGCCACCAGGCTTCTCTGTCCATGGAATTCTCCAGGCAAGAATACTGGACTGGGTTGCTGTTCCCTTCTTCAGGGGATCTTCCCCACCCAGAGATGGAATCTGTATTTGTCGTATTCCAGGCAGATTCTTTACCATCTGAGCCACTAGGGAAGCCCAAAATATGTTTGGAAGTATCCAAATATAATGAATGGATCCCAATATATGGGCTACTTAAAATGATAAGATTGGCAGTAAGAGGTCTGACTGTGTAAACAAACAATCCTTTGCTTTACTATTTCAATGCTAATGTTTTCTAAAACAATATTGAAAAGTCTACTTAGAAAACAAAAAATAGAAATAGGCATTAAAAACTAAAAGTAAATCACCCCTGTACAATTTAGGTGTGTAAATGCCATTGTTGTGTTGTTTAGTCACTAAATTGTGTCTGATTCTTTCGTGACCCCATGGACTGTAGTCTGCCAGGCTCCTCTGTCCATGGGATTTCCCAGGCAAGAAAACTGGAGTGGGTTGACATTTCCTTCTCCAGGGGAGTCTTCCTGACCCAGGGACCGAGCCCATGTCTCCTGCATTGGCAAGCATGTTCTTTACCACTGAGCCACCGGGGAAGCCTTTGTGTAAAAACTACACGTACATGGTAAACATGCTAATCACTCAATCGTGTCTGACTCTTCGGTACCCCATGGACTATAGCTCATCATGCTCCTCTGGCCATGCAATTCTCCAGGCAAGAATACTGGAGTAGGTTGCCATTCTCTTCTCCAGAGGATAAGCCCAACCCAGGGATCGAACCCAGGTCTCTTGCATTGCGGGCAGATCTTTCCCTTCGGAGCCACCAGAGAAGCCCACATGATAGAAAAAATTATTCTAAAGCCTATGGGTAAACGTTGAGCAAAATGCACCTTACCTTGCCATCTGCAGATGCTTTCTCCTAAGAATGATAAGAGTAACAAGCAGCAGTCCAATTAACAGTGTGCTGAGGATGGCCAGCACGGAGATGACCACCACATTGGGATTCATCTCTGTAACTAAAGATAAAAGCCACACATCTTCAATGGAGCTTCTATGACATGGAAACTAACAGCACCGTTCATCATATCCCATTTAAGACTGTTTGTCTTTAAAGACGCATAACCACAGCAACAATAGAAACAAGGACATTTCTCTGAGTCAACGATGGTTTCTTGCTGGTCAACTCTTACTTAGTAGAACAGATTGACAGTGTTTGGGTGGGTGGAAGAACTGAGTCCACTTCAAAGGCCCATGTTCAGGACATTCTTATTAAAGGAAACCGTGAAATGTATAGAATGCCTGTGCCATGATTTAAGTTCATTTGAAAACAAAAATGCTAGAAGTCATTATCAGGTATCATCACTGTTTAACATTTTCAAAAGCTTAGAGAGAGGTAGGCTCTTATTTTATGTCCATGGCTTTCAAGTCAGAAAGCACAACTGTGTATTTCCCTCACATAATAATGTATATGAAAAAGGAATTAGCACCTTGCCATCTGCTGCAGCACTTAATGCATCGCCAGTAGCAGGCTTTCTGGTGATCTGTAACCATATGTTTGGAGGTTTTTCTATCTGCATAACTCAAGAGATTAAACTTATTAATACATTTAGGGCCTTTAAGAACAGGGCTTGTATCTCTTTCATACGCTAGGTCTCCTATGATCCATCCTTTAGTGCACTTACACATTGCCTAATTTACATACTACCCAGAAGATCAGGATGTTAAAGGTGTGACTATACATCACAGATTTTTGTAAAGCTCTTAAAAGCAGATCAGAGGAAAAGAGGAGACACCATCCTCGGCACTGATCATAACATCACAGTACTGGCCAACCCACACAATCCCTGAGGTTTTGGGCATTTGCCACTTCCCCTGTGGGCCAGCTTGGCTCCACTGTATAGACAGAAGTATTAGAACAGAAAGAATGTTAGACTCATAGAAGAGATTGTTCAAGTTTGCTTGACTATTGCCTTCCATTTGGGGAAGCTCTGATATCAGTCTTTCCTGGCCTCATTTTCCTCACTTGCAAATACATTTAATAATGTCACCTGTTTCACTGGGTTGCTGTACAGATGACAGGGAATCATGAACATTCAAGTAGTTTTAGAAAATGGAAAAGGGTGTTGAAATGAGAGACCATTAGTACACTTTTCAGGTCCATTTTTGCTCTTTCTTCTGAAAAAGCAGAAACTAAAAACGGAAAAAAAAAGTTTCTTCTAGTGGCCACTGGATATAGTGGCTAAACATGATTAATGCCTACATACGTAAATGAAAATGAACCCATTAAAGGTGTGATGTGATGGTAAGAATAGCTTTATTACAGGCAGCTTCAGGGAGGGTCTTAGATGACAGAATTAGACTTAAGCAGAGGAGTAAAACAAATAATATAACTCAGGAAAAGAAAAAGGAAACAACATTATACTGAACCTTTTGTTAATTTCTAATTTCCCCAATAATGCTTTCTACTTGACTGAAAATTTTTGGCTTTGGTCCAGTAATTTAGGTTCACCATTACTCAATCAGTGAGAGTGCAAGGTCAAGACTACAACAGATGCACCTGAGTTGCTTACAGTACTGTGGGTACCACTGAAGAGGGTGATGGGGACGATGAAGTTGATGATGAAAACAACTAGCATTTAGACAGCATGTACTAGAGCTTTAGGTACTTGATTTCTAAGCCTCAAAACATGTCAACAGGTACATACTATCACTCCAGCTTTACAGATGAAAAAACAAAGCTTCAGAATAGTTATCATTCCCTAAATAATAATTATAATTATATAATAATTATCGTTCCCTAAATCACATAACCAGTAAGCACAGTTTGGGATTGGAATTAAAGTTTACCTGAACTCAGAGCTTGAAACTTTTCAGGGAAATGTGAGTTTTCTTTTTAAAAAAGATAAATTATATATATTTAAAAGGAAAAATTAAGGCAAATCAGGGAAGAAAGAATTTCCAAAGATACCAGATTTCACTGGTGCCTGTACTTACCCATTGTCGAGATTGCTATGAATGTAGGGACACTGGGGCTGTCATGGCTAAAGCTAGTGACACTACAGTTGTAGGCAGTGGCAGGAAGGAGGCTGGAGATGGTCACGACATGAGAGGAAACAGAAATTGGTTCCTGGAGGTGCAGAAGACAAGGTAAATGTTATGTTTTCTTCATCTAGTTTGGCTTTTAAATTACTTTTCATAATTGAATAGGGAACATGTGGACAGAGTAGAAAAACTGAAAAAGCAAAAAAGGAAGCAATGAAAAATGTTTCCTTCTTTCGGCACTTCCCATCTACCCAATTACCTTTCATGGAAGCAGCCACTGTTGTAAGGTAGTTTTTCTTTTTTTTTCTTTCCATCTGTATTTTATGGATGTATAAACATATAAGAATATAGTGATAACATAGTTTATGCATCATTCTACTTATTTTTATTTTGGTTATCAGTATATTTTGGCACTCTTTCCACACCAGTACAGATAAAGCTATTATGGGCTGCATAGAAATCCATTGAAAGAACATATTTTATTTAGCCAGTCCTCTATTAATAAATGTTTAGGTGATCTGATTTTTTGTTGTTATAAACAATTCAACAGTTTCATAATTAATGGGAACATATGCATATGTACACATACTCATTTTATATGTGCATATTTATGTGTATATATACACAAGGGCTTCCCTGGTGGCTCAGTGGTAAAGAATCCACCTGCCAAGCAGGAGACATGAGTTAGATCCCTGTGTTTGGAAGGTCCTCCAGAGAAGGAAATGGCAACACACTCTAGTAGTCTTGCCTGGAAGTCCCATGGACAGAGAAGTCTGATGGGCTATAGTCCATGGGGTTGCAAAAGAGTGACTTAGTGACTAAACAACAACAATATATACATATATACATTCATACACAAAACCTGTGAATATATTTGTGTATATATGTATATGTATGAATACTCATACATATACAACACTCATATTCTTAGGAGTTGAACCGCTGGGTCAAAAAGTTATATCTTTTTAATTTTGAAAGGTATAGACAAATTATCTTCCAAGGGTCCCACCTACCGTCCGTGCATGACAATACCCATTTCCCTACATTTGTTTTTACACAACAAGCTGTATACAATTTGCAAACTTTTTGAACTTTTCCCATTTTATTAATGGAAACTGTCCCTCACTGTAGTTTTATTTTGCATTTCTTTCACCATGAGTGAGCTTGGTCATCTTTTTATATGTTTAAGAGCCTTCTATGTTTATTTTCTATGAAACAGCTGTTTTGGGTTGCTGATCTTTATCTTTTTTATTTGTAGTAGATCTTTGAAAATTGGGCTTCCCTTGTGGCTCAGCTGGTAAAGAATCTGACTGCAATGTGGGAGACTTGGGTTTGATCCCTGGGTTGGGAAGATCCCCTGGAGAAATGAAAGCCTACCCACTCCAGTATTCTGGCCTGGAGAATTCCAAAGACTGTATAGTCCATGGGGAAGAGTTGGACACAACTGAGTGACTTTCACTTGTATATATTAAGAGCACTATCCCTTTTGTCTACATTCTCTGCTTTTAAATAGCATCCACCAAAGGCATCAAGACACTGTGTCCTCCAAAATGTTTAACATTAACTTATTCTTGAGTAAAAGTTGTTAATTTGGTGGGCCAATGGCCATCCACTGACAAGTACAACTGTACAATATAAAAAGATGAGCCAGCATAATATCCTTTTTCAAAACAAAGGTCAGAAACACCTCTACCTAAAGAGATGAGCAGCAAGGATTTCACACTCCTACTTCTTTCACTATCCTATAAAAGAATGCTTCTGAGAAAAGATTTTTGCTAACAGGACTCAGTTGTATAAAGTAGCTGCCTGATCATCATTTTCTTAAAGGAAGACATTACTGTAGTTGCAGAGAACTAAATTTACTATTTGCAGAGCAGCTTTTTTTCCAAAAGGATTCTTGGGATCCAAAGGATACAGCTGTTCAGTACAAATCAAAACGAGATAATGTTTGTAGACCAGACTATCAAAAGGGGAGAGAAATCAAAGCAAATTATCTTTAACACTCAGTATAAAAAGATTCATACTGCTAGAAATCCTTTTTTCTTTTCAATCTCATGAGCTGCACTATTTAAAAAGCATCAATTATTTATGTTCATGGTATTCATCTTTGCACTGTATTTTGTGACATGCCTCAAAAATTTGCCCTTTTTCTTCCATGTCTGACTGTAATGTAGTTTTTTCTTGTGGTTTTGTTACCCCAAGGCTCATCTCTCTCCTTCCATTCAATTTAACCTGGTGGATAACTCAGTATTCATCTTATCTGTTATTTGTAACTCTAAATCTTTAACACTCACCTATCACAGCCTTCATTTTCCCAAATAAAATTATCCTCCTTCAGTTCAGTTCAGTTGCTCAGTCGTGTCCAACTCTTTGCAACCCCATGAATCGCAGCACACCAGGCCTCCCTGTCCATCACCAACTCCCCAGAGTCTACTCAAACTCATGTCCATCGAATCGGTGATGCCATCCTCCTTACTGCTGTCTTTTAAATTCTCTTAGTAATATGGGTCTCACTTCTGGCACTTATACTTCATTTTAATTATTGCTACTCTAGTGTAATATCCACAATTAAATGAAAAAATAATTGAAGGTATTGATTATACCAGGCTTCCCGGGTAGCTCAGCTGGTAAAAAATTGCCTGCAGTGCAGGAGACCTCGATTCAATTCCTAGGCTGGGAAGTTCCTTTGGAGAAGGAATAGGTTACCCACTCCAGTGTTCTTGGGCTTTCCTGGTGGTCAGATGGTAAAGAATCTACCTGTAATGCGGGAGACCTGGGTTCAATTCCTGGGTCAGGAAGATCCCCTGCAGGAGGGCATGACAACTCACTCCAGTCTTCTTGCCTGGAGAATCCCCATGGACAGACGAGCCTGAGGGCTACAATCCATGAGGTCACAAAGAGTCGGACATGCCTGAGCGGCTAAGCACAGCAAAGCACCTTGATTATACCAGGGCTTCCCTGGTGGCTCAGTGGTAACGGACCTGCCTGCCAATGCAGCAGACTCGTGTTCTATCCCTGGGTCAGGAAGATCCCCTGGGTCAGGAAGATCCCCTGGACGAGGGCTTGGCAACACCCTCCACTATTCTTGCCTGGGAAATCCCATGGACAGAGGAGACTGGTGGGCTAAAGTGGGGTCGTAAAAGAGTCAGATACAACTTAGTGACTAAACAACAACAATATTGATTCTAACATTTGTGTCCCATACAATGTCTGCCACATAAATGCCAATTAGTTCATATGTGTTAAGTTATATTTTATACAGCGGTGTGTTTTTATACCTTACATCAATTTAATGGCCAACAGACAACCACCTCAATTTAACTCTCCAGCATGACCAGGAGTCGCTAAAAACTGGAGACAGGAGACTGATACAAAGGTGAAAATAAACTCTGTGATTTGGCAAGTCAATTATAACATATTTGGGGCCCATTCTAAGATAATTTTCAATTTCTATCACTGGAACACAAAACCACACATGCAGAGTTCTCCTTTTATATCATTCAAAAAAAGATTTTCACTTTGCTCACATAATGAGCCTTAATCAAAATTAACTCAGAAAAGGAAAATCCGAACATACGGTACCTGGAGTTTTGCTTCCTGACTGGAGCCAACTTGCTGGCAGAAGACTTCGAAGAAATCAGCTACTCCCTCTTCCACCCACAGCAAAGTCACCGAGGTCTGGGTTTTATTCACTGCAAAGAGGGACTTTGGAGGAGCTGGTTCTGAGCAACGATAAGTTTTAAAACATTAATTTCATCTAATGTATCCTTCCTTCATTAATCAGAAGGATAAAATAGGTAAAAAAAATCCAAACACAGGTAGTTAAAAGCACCCTACAGATTTTTTATTGCTTTGTGAAATATGTCCTTTCACTAAGACTGTCGTCTAACTTGGAAGGCAGAATTTTTTTGCCTTTTTATCCTCTTTCATTTTATACTTCTCTTTTTGGGACACTTCTGTTTTTTACTTCAGCTTTATTATAGCCATAATCTATTAATAGTCTTTGCTGCAACTACAATGGAATCAGCACTGCCCATAGGTACAGAACTTTCTGGGTGACAAGTTGGTACTGAAAAGACGGAAAAATGAAAGTGATGTGCTCCCTTCTAATGGAGAGATCCAGTCTGATGTCAAGGCCAAAAACCCGCCTTCCTTTCTCGAGAGATTATTTGGAATCATTTAGTCAGAGGAATGGCTTCTTGAAAATTTAGACAAAATTAGAGGGATAAAGCTAAAGAGATAACACAATTTTTTAAAGAAAAAGATTGATGGAAGAGGAGTTGATTATTGATAAAATTTTAAAGGACTGCTTTTTTTATCTTATTCGTTTAGGCAATCTTTTTAAAATGTATTTATTTTTAATTGGAAGATAATTGCTTTAAAATGTTGTGTTGGTTTCTGCCACATATCAACATGAATCAGCCATAGGTATACATATGTTTCCTCCCTCTTGAATCTCCTTCCCACCTTCCACCCCATCCCATCCCTCTGGGTTATCACAGAGCACAGGGCTGAGCTCCCTGTATTAAACAGGAACTTCCCATTAGCTATCTATTTTACATATGGTTATGTGTATATTTCAGTGCTATTCTCTCAGTTTTTCCCTGATAGCTCAGTTGGTAAAGAATCCTCCTGCAATACAAGGGACCCCAGTTCTGTTTCTGGGTCGGAAAGATCCCCTGGAGAAGGGAAAGTCTACCCACTCCAGTACTCTGGCCTGGAGAATTTCTTGGACTGTATATAGTCCAAGAGTTGGACATGACTGAGTGACTTTCACTTCATCACTTCTGGTTCCCGCTGTGTCCGTAAGTCTGTTCTCTATAGACATTTAATCTTTTTATAAAAATAATTTCCTTTATTTATTTAGACTGTGCTGGGTCTTCACTGTGGCGCATGGAGAGTGCTTGGCCTTCAGTAGTTTGGTACATGGGCCTTGTTGCCTCATGGCCTGTGGAATCCTCCCAGACCAGGGATCGAATCTGTGTTCCCTGCACTGCAGGCAGACTCTCAACCACTGGACCATCACGGAGTTCCCTAGACATTTAGTCTGGATCAATAAAGTAATCCACTAGTTAAGCAAACCATTCTGTTTGTGCCCTTTCATATACATTTCTAGTAATTGAGTCATCGGGCTTGCCGGCTTGATACTAGATGCCCATCTGTTTCCCAGTTCTGGGTGTTGGTCTGCTGTCTTGTTCACCTACTGCTGAACCTCTCCTGGTCCTCTGCCTATGCCCCTCTTCTCTGAGCACTGCCTTTCTCTCAAGTTCCTCCAATACATAGAAGGCTACGCCTGAATCCAAGTTCTCAAGCCAGGGTCCCTCTTACCTGCTTGTTTGGAAATGTCTAGCTGTCAGGTTCACGTAGTGGGCATACTCTGCCCATTAGCATGACAGGCATGACAGGCAACTATCTGCACTGTTTACTTGTCACTTGAATTTCTTTTCATTCTCTCTCCCACCCTCCCAAGTCTGTTCTAAGGCTCCTGGCATTTAGTGGGGCTTGAAAAAGCCCTAGAGGGCATTTTACTCAGAAATGATATGTCTTTGTTGGGGAAGGTCTGGGCCTTCTTTCTGGAATATCATCATTATGTCCAGAACCAAGAAGTTTGTCAGAATCCTTCTTGATGTGACCTACTGCAGTAGAGTAAGTTTGTGTCCAACTGTAAAAGAAGTATTTTTCCCTTCCAGAGGCAACCTGACAAGGCTGGGCAGAAGAGTTGAAGGAATAAAGTGATGAGTTGGTCTTGGGCAAGCATAATTCACAATAGATGTCAGGACCCCTTTCTCGTTCGCCATGAATCATTTACTCCTCTAAACATTGTACCGTCTCACTTCCCCTCTGATGAAGAGTGTTGATGAAACACAGAGGTTTACTTCCACTTCTTATGTCCTTCATAATTGTCACTGCTATTGGGATTATGAGTCAGAGACCAAATCCTCCAATGATTCTGACTCCTGTAGAACCTGAAAGGTTGGAAGCAAGTGTGAGGTTTCTGAGGCAGAAACGGGTGATTTGTTAGGTTGAGCCTGGGTTATGTCTCTTTAAAAGATGCACACTACAGAATTGCTCCTCAGAGTGAGTTTCTTGGACAGTGATTAGAACACCTAAAAGATCTCTCTATTTTTTCCTATTGGGTTGACAAATTCAGTTTGGCTATCTGATATGAATCAGCCCCTATGGCCTAATGGATAAGGCATTGGCCCCTTAAGCCAGGGACTGTGGGTTTGAGTCCCACCCGGGGAAGAAGGAGTTGTATTTTGGGCTTCCCTAATAGCTCAGTTGGTAAAGAATCTACCTGCAAGGCAGGAGATCCCAGTTTGATTTCTGGGTCAGGAAGATCCCCTGGAGAAGGGATAGGCCACCCACTCCAATATTCTTGGGCTTCCCTTGTATCATCTGATATGAACATTGCCCAGATCCTAATCTCCAAATCTGATTGATTTCCCATCTGTGTTTACTCAAGTATCTCACTATTAACCCCAAATTCCATAAGGTTAAAATGGAACATGGAGTCCTTGCCTACCCACAAATCAATTCTGCTTTCCACCTCTCCCTGATACTCTCATCAACAACATCATTTCCTTTGTCTGAGCTGACAGTTTTGAGGCTTTCCTCTTCCTTTTTTGCACTACTTTTTAATACTTCCTTTCATCTCTTCCTTTTGTTTATTTCTTTTATTATATTGCACACCCAGGCTTTTGCCATCACACTTGGCAATCATTACAACAGCCCTTTACTCCTTTTCCTTGTCTCTTACTTGATCCTTTGTTTTATCAATGATGGTTTAAATTGTTTAAAAACACCACTTCACTCTGGTTAGATTCTATCTGTACAATGATTTACTCTGATCAATTTCAAATGTGTCAAATCCAAATACAGTAAGTTCCCTACATATTAATCTTCAGGCTGCAAACTTTCAAAGATGTGAATGCATTCACATGTTCAATTATGTTGTTAGTACATATGTCCGGCAATACATCGTCACATGTGTGCATCCTCTACAAGTGGTTGTGCTTTTGTGTACCTAACTGTAGAGTCCTGTATGGAGTATAGTGGTATGGTATCTTTATAGATAGAATTGAATCCAGCAAGGAACCAGAACCCGGGCCATCAAAAACAGGTGTGAGTGAAATTTCAACTTGCCCTCTGTCTCCTATTGCTGACGATTCTTCAGCTCCACCATCTCCCATCTCCCACCTCCTCTCCTTCTCCAGCCAGTAACTCTTCCTGCCTCTATTATCAATATATTACAGTACAGTACTGTATAGCTGAAAGTGTTAGTTGGGTACCTAGGCTAACTTTGTTGAATTTACAAACATGCTCTTGGAATGGAACTCATTTTATGTAGGGAGCTTACTGTATGCTAAGTTAAAGACCCTACATACTTTGGCCACCTGCTACCCGTCACCACCATCTTCCCCACACAGACATACTGTCCTCGTAAAGCCAGTCTTCTTGCTGACCATGACACAGGCATTATTCTTTCTCAACTCATGTATTTCTCAACACTTAATGTGTTCTTTCTGCTCTTCTGATCATCTTAAAGAAAAAGTCTTACCTTCTCCTTCAAGCCTTATCTGATGACTGTCTCTTGAGGCTCTGTCCCTTCTCTGACCTTCTCTCACCCTGAACTATTTCCTGTGTGATCTGTGTGAGTGAAGTCCTGATTCCACTGAGTCCTTTAAGAACTGCGGTCGTGTGTAATGAATTATTTTGTCTTCTTTTTGAACTAGCCATGTGTAGGGATGCAATAAATCTTACCTATTGACAGATTTAAAACCTAAGTCAAGATTCATTAACCAGAGGTGTTAGGATTCAAGCATCAAGAAAGATCAGACATGTCGGCACTGAATTTTGACATTCTCTGTTTTTGTATGGTGATTATATTTGTAAAAAGTCATCAGCTCTCAGTGGCAGAGTGAAAGACTGTGAATTAGAAGTATTTTCAGTGACCAAAGAAATAAGAGATACTGGAATACACATTTCCTCTGGTCTGGCTGAGAATGTGGATGCAGGTGATGAGTGGATCCTTAGGAAAATATCCAAAGGATCTGGAACCTCTAACAGCCAAGTAACAATTTCTTTTTTCCTCCGGTGGTATATGAGGCAATAGATTATTCCAAAATCACTGTACACATTATTTCTGCATCTTTTTCTGAAAGACAGCATGCATTTCACTTCTGTAGGTCAATGAGAAATATTCACAAGTCACCTGTTTGAAAAGACTTACGATCTCTGTGGTAGGGATATTTTCCTAGATAGATTGGGGAGAAATTCCACCCTGCTATTCTGAAGAAAATAAAGAAAGTCATCACAATATTTCATAAGTTGAGGTATTTCATAAGTATAATTGGATTAGGAGTGACTACTAATTAAATTTCACTACTCAGGACAATATCTGCTCCAGTGAAAGTGAAAGTCACTCAGTTGTGCCTGACTGTTTGTGACCCCATAACTATGGGGTCCACAAGTCCACGGAATTCTTCAGGCCTGAATACTGGAGTGGGTAGCCATTCCTTTCTCCAGGTAGCCTTTCCCTTCTCCAGGGGATCTTCCAAACCCAGGGATTGAACCCAAGGCTCCTGCATTGCAGGTAGATTCTTAACCAGCTGAGCTACAAGGGAAGCCTCATTTGCCCCAGGGGATGTGTTAAAATATTAGGACTGTATTGTGCTACACGGTAACTGCTAGCCACATGTGGCTACTGAATGCTTGAAAT